TTCGACACAAAACATACAAAAATATTGTGTGTTATACATAGAAGTAGAAAATTTGCTTGTCTATGTAGTTTCAATGTAATCCGCGGTCATGATTGCCAGGATATTGTAGCTGTTCGATTATTTATTAAGTCTGGATTACAAAAGTATGCATTATTTATTTACTTATTCTTTTTTTATATAAATATATATTTATATTTTTAACTTTTCCTTTTACAGCAGCGACTTTAATTCTTATGGCGAATCTGGTAAATCCAATGAATCCAGGCTACAATAGTAAATAACACAATAATCAATCATCAGTAGTATAGAGCATGTTATATTATATGGGGTCTTTGCTTTGAAAATGACCTTACGGTACATGATACTATAAGGTCATTTTCAAGGCAAAAACCCCATATGATATTTTTCTTTATTAATACGATATTCAATAATGTAAATTAGTGAATTGCATAATTATTCTGATTAAAGCTATACTAACAGATATTTTCTCTATATTCTACATAGGCCTGTGGCTGAATCAGTTGCAAGCAGTTCTCTTGAGTCTTACATTCATCAGAAAAATACCAGTAGTCATAATAAGGATGAGCTTAAACTACCCGAAAGAAGAGGTTCTAAAAATAAGAGAAAAAGCTGATTAGTACTAGGAGAATCTATTCAACTTCAAAATACAGTTTTAAACATGCTTTACCATATAGTAAAGATTGTTAAAATCATTGGTAAGAGCAAGATTATTGTAGATGTTACCTTTGAAGATGGTAGTATGAATCAATGTATAATTCAACTAGCTGATATAATCGGGTATGCTAATGGACAAACGAAAAAAAAGTCAAAGGTAATATGATCATGATTTTGTCTAATTTTCTTTTTTTGGATAATATACTTTATAAACTGATATTAGGTAAATAAGCAAGTTATATCTTCACAACCCACACCATCATTTAAAGACTCTCATGGAAACGCTGTAGTTTTTATAATGCCATATGGAGGGAAAAAAGGCGCTTTGTATTTAACCTCTACGTGCCCAGTAGATACAAGTCTTATGCTTATCCAAAGTGTTTTTACTAATCAATATATCTACAATCAAGCTAATGCATTCGCATTAGCTGACCCAAATTCATGTATTCACCTTCTTCTTCAAGTTTTTGATTTAATGAAGAAAAAAAAATGGGCAAAGGCTAAGTTTCTTTGGATTGAAAAGTTATTATCGCATAATAAGTTAACAGAAATGGAACAAATAGACTTATTTGGGAGACTTTCAAAATGGTTTTTCGAACATTTCTTTCATGATTCTTTAGACCGAAATCTTCTTGTTGTCAAAAGTACAACAATGTCTATATGTAATTCAGACTACTGCCCAAAAAAAATCTCCTGCCCAACAAATTCTTATAATATTATACTCGTGTAAGTAACTTTAATAATTTTACTTGTGCCGTTTTAGATTAACTTTTTTATTGGTTTATTTTCTATTTTCGTTTACTTAAGTTGGAATATTTTAAATAATGCTCACAAAATCAAATCAATTTTTTTTATTTTTTTATATAGAAAAACGCAATTACCCGTGCTATCAAGAAGTAATTACTTTGAAACATGTCTTAAGGATTGGCAAGAACCTTATATTGTCTCATGTGAAACAAAGTTTAAAATTATGAATAAAAAAGAATCAATAAACATTCCAGAAAATGCTTTCAAGATTGATAAATATACCTCAGTAGAAACTAGAAATATTAAATTAAGCAATTTGTCTTTTACTCTTTATTTACATATTTTTTAATACCCTTTTAGATACTTGTATTTATGCGCAGGCAAGATTAAATTGGCGAAACAAATCGATCAGCGGCTACCCTTGATTCTTGTAATTAATGTTGCAGGCATTGGTATGATTGACGAAGAAATATATCTTGAGATTAATGACCTTTCAGAAAAAATTAATTTTCCTTTAGAAGACATAAAAATAAGGCAAAGGTAAGGTATTAATACTGTAATGAGTAAAATAGGGAGGCGCAAAATTTGGTAGTCCCGTGACTTTTATTCAATCCGATTGAAAGATTAGCATTTAACATACAAATGCGAAGTAAAAAAATAAAGGCAAAAAAAAAAACCAAAAATCACAAAAAACTTATAAATTCTCAAAGGAAGTTGGCATATAAAAGTTTTCAGCACAAAAATTTAGATATATTCTTTCTATATACTTTGTTTAGACAAATTAGAATGTCATTGTTATTGAATTAGTTACGGGACCGCCAAATTTTTACTATTTTTTCATTCTATTGATATTTACTCTTTATTTCATATATTTACCAGTCTTTTTTGTTCTAATTATATAGATATCGTCTCACAGGTGTTTCTTTTTGTAACGGTAAACATCATATTGCAGACGTCCGTTTCGAAAATATCAAAAATGCAGGATAGTATTAGTATGATGGAATGGGAAAGACCTATCGTACAAGGGCAATGTACATAGGAAGTACACGTCCATCTCACAGAGATAACTATGTTATAGATTATATGATTTATATTAAGGTTTAAAGATTTTTCTTGCATTTGTCTTTCAGCCATGAGTTACATAAATATTAATATGTAATTGAAGTATATTTTTAAATGTCAATTTATGTATGTATATATTTTTAATTACACTGAGCAAAAGTACCTAAGTATTCTAATTAATCAAAAATCTAATAGAGTTGGGTTTTTATTATTTGCAAGTTATACACTATTTGTGAGAATGCTTCTGCTTTGACTTTTTAATATTGACATAATTGCTTATATCATAATACGTACGTATGTAATATTTTGGTAATCATTACCTAATAAATACAAAAAAAAATTTCAAGTACATACCGATATATACCAAACATTTTTTTACGTGAGTTTATTGAAAAAGAGGGTATTTTTTTATAGTACTATATATATTCTTAGACTTAATATCAATCGAGAATTATAAATAAAGGTATTTATAAGCTTATGTTTGGGGATTTTTGTTAGAATTGGACAAGATCTTGATTGCAACAATTCCAGAGAGTTCACAAGGATCATTATGAACCTTTCAAATATCATCCAACGGGTTCAGATATACCGAACCAAATCCTCCAGCAGATTTTTTGATACCGTCTAGTCTATAGATGCTGGTAAAATTAAATCTGAGTGGTGAAATAATTTCACCATTTCACCAATCACCAATCGGTAATGGTGTAACTGGTGTAACTGGTGAATCGGTGTAATTGGTGTAATTGGTGAATTGGTGAATTGGTGAAATGGTGGAATGGTGGAATAGTGAATTTCTAAAGTCCGGAATTATTTCAGTTTACCAGTACACTTAGAGGTCAGAACTGTTAACTGTTTATTTATTCATTGGATGTCTAAACAATAATAAATCTAATATATATACATTGGATTTACTATTGTTTAGATATCTAACGGATAACGAACTAATTCGAAAATACATAGCAATTGCAGAAACCAGTTTATGTACTGTTTAGTACGTTATATATCAGCATGAGAATATATTCTGGAAAGATTATAAAACTAGTAAAACGATGCCATTTTGCAGGGCTGGAGCCTATTTATTACACGCTTAAACTTGGAAATAAAATTTGTAACATACATATACGTACCAGTATATGAATAATAGGAATTTTAAGTAGTTTTAAGTTTATTTAATGTAGTATACATGTGAACATTCATAAATTTCTATTAAAATTCATAAATTTATATAGTAATCTTTGTTTGGCTAATCTGTTATAAACGTGCACTTTTTCCTAATTTCTGTAATCTACTATAAGAAAATGTACTATTGAAAAAAAGACCAGGGTCCATATCATCCCCTTTTTGAGGTTAATTTTTCTTGATTGCATCTATCGTAGGAAATCTCTCTTTACAAATAGGGCAGAAAATGAATTTAAGCGCGAACCTACTTTAAAAGACCCTTATCGTAATTAGAAATTTGGCATGCAAGTGGTAACGACAAGATATTTTGATCCTCTAAAAAAAAAAAAAAAAAAATTAGTTAATATAACTAGTTGACATTTTGTAATTAGTTGAAATTATATAATAAACATTATATTCGACACTTGGATTTGTATTTATTTTTCAATATTATTATCTTGACATTTGCGACAATTTTACCTTTTATTGACTTGACGTTCTTCAGGTGATATAGAAGCCAATTCTTTCTTCCAGCGTTATTTCTTGCAGCCTTTTGTTCAGGCGTATAAATTTTTTTATTTTTTTTTTGCATCGATACAATAAATATTAATTAGCTTTTAATTAGCTTTGTTAATTGTTATCATATTTATTACGTTAATCATCATTTTATTTATTATGTTTTTTAGTCTTTTTTATTTATCTATCTTAAATTTTTTACAGAAGATATGTGTTCAAAATCAATTCATATAATTATAGTGGTAGGAGCCAGACATTGACTTAAATTAGTAGAGCATAGAAAGGTCTTACACTCCAGCCCAAATATAAGAATAAATAATTTAATTATATTATATAATATGAATCTTGTTTTCAAATAAATCTCATGTTTTCATGATAAAAACTTTTTTGTTGGCCAAAAAGCTGTATAAGTTTGATTTTAATCAGATGTCAATGCAAAACCTGCTTACTTATTTGTGGTATCTGTAGAATATCCAGTTATTTAAAGGTTTTTAAGATCCGTGGATAACCATATAATCTAAAAACAACCAGATTAAAAATTAGTAATTAATTTTTTAAAGGATAAATCCGTACAGATAAAAAAAAAAATCTGGTTTCAAGCTCTAATGAAAAAAAAAATTTGAAGTAACGTGAGAAAATAGTTATTCATAAAAAGAAACATGTTAAAATTCTAAATGCTATATCAATATATTGTATTACGATTCAACTAAATATCAAGTTTGAATCTAGTATCGAATACTGAACCCTGATTATAATAAACTAAAAAGGCAAGAATATTTAATTTTTACCAGTTATCGTGAACTATATATATTGATGACGATACATATATTTTTTGAAAATTAATGGCATCACGGAATTCAGAAACTGCTTCTAATACATTTAGCATTAGTGAAAATGAACCACAAGAATATAGTGAAACAAATGAAACAAATGAATCAAGCCAATCACTTACAAAACGCATAAATATTGGTGGTAAAAAGCAAGAAGATATTTGGCTTTATGTTAATCAAGGTATCAGTTTAGGTCGGGATATTATAAAGCTAGTTGTAAATATTGTCCTGTTTCATGGGAAAGAGGTTGACCTGATGATATATGCTTGCATCTTGCTCAACAATGTTTAAATGTTCCTGATGAAATTAAATACTTTTGGAGAGATTTCATTGCTGAAGAAAAAACTCCAACACGAAAAAAAACAAACCATAATCAATCTGAAATTACAATTCATTTTCCAACAATTGAACTACTTCCTAAAGCATGAGTAGAATCTTTAAATAAAGCTATTTTAAAAGCTTGGATTATGTATAATTTTTCATTTGAAACTGTAGAGAATTCTTTTATAATCGATTTGTTTCAACTTGCAATTCCTGGATATGAACTTCCATTACATAATAGGCTTTCTGGTCATTTTTTAGACCAAGAAGTTTTAAGAATTGATAAACAAATTGATAATGATCTAGAAAAAGAAGAATATCTTACTTTATATATGCAATATAAATTTTTTTTAAAAAATTATACAGTAATTAATAATAAATTAAAATTTAAAAAAATTTTTTTTATTGTATTAATAATAGCCCTTGACGGATAGACATTGCCTGCTCATGATTCAATTTATAACTTTATTATCACTACATCTAAGCGTAAAAAATGCTCATTAAACTTAAGGAGTATAACAAAGTTAGTTATACAGGAGAGTTGGCAATTGTTATCAATTCAGGAGCAAATCTTCGAGTAGCTCATTAAATCGTTCATGACACTTATCCTTCTATATTAAATATTAGATGCGTCGCACATGCAGTAAACTTGCTTGCATCTGATTTTACTAAATTAGATTCAGTTAAAGATATTGTTATCAAATGCAGTTTAATTTTAAATTTTTTTCATAATTCTCATGTTGCTCATGGATATTATTTAGAACAACTTCGCCTTATGAAAATTAAAGGTGGGGAAATTAAATCATACTGCAAAACTCGTTAGGGAACACTAGATTCAATTGTTAAATCTAAGTGTAATAGTTAATATTATATTTATTTAACTTTAAATTTATAGTATTATAATGATAGTATAATTTTTTTATAGATTTTAGAAAATCACATGTCTGTAATCTCTAATACTGCGGTATTTGATCTTCTTGAGGATGAAGATTTTTATATTAAGTGCCATCAGATTTCTGTTATTTTAAAACCTGTAAAGGAGTTAACAAATTGTTTAGAAGCCAAAACAGCCAATTTAGCCGATGTTTTTATTGGTTTGGTTAAATTAGCCGCAAATATTAATTGAGTTGAAAATTCTAATCTGTGAAAAAAAAATATTATTATTAATTTTAATCGACGATTTGATGAACTTGTAAATTCTGTTACAATTCTTGTATACTGGTTACATCCTTTATATAGAGGTATAATATATATATATATAAGTTAGAGATGTGACTCGATTATAAATTTTATGATCGGGTCATATCTCTATGTATAAGATTTCAATTATATATAATTAATTATATATATATTAGGTCGTGGCTTAAAGAGAACGGTATTGGATAAAATTTATGAAATAGCTGCATTAATTTGGAATAATTTACATTATTCAGAAGAGTCATGTATACAATTATTGGTAGAAATGCGAAGTTGGAAATGAAAAGATGAACCTTACCATCTTTCCTATAATTCTACTTGTGAAACACCAATTAAATGGTGGCGTAGCATATATGTTGATGATGATCAAGATCAACTCCAACAATTAGCATTACGTTTATTCTCAATTGTTCCTTCGCAAGCTGTCTGTAAAAGAAACTTTTCAATGCTTAAATGGTTTTATGGTAATAAGCGAACTCGTCTTAGTCTTTTTCGAGTAGAAGATATGGCAAAAATACGCTCTTACTATCTTTCAAATTCTGATAAAGAACTTCAACTTTATGGCAAAAATCTAAATAATGGAGAGTTATATGAAAGTATTAATACATCTATGGTTACGTATGACTTACTTGAAACTTCAGATAAAAATACTAATAATAGTGAGACTAATAATTTGGATAATATTAATGAAAGCGAATATTTGGAAAGTTTAACGTTAAACATTGCAGATTTAATATTAACAGAGTTTTTAGCATCTGGAGATACAATATTTTCTTCAGAACCTGTTACAAATAATTGGGCTAGAGATGTAGGCAATATGAGTTATGATCCTATTGAGTTAGCATGTCAAATAGTATTGCAAAATGAAGAGAATTAAAAAATTTATTATATTAGTATTTGAATCATGCATGTAATAAAATTTTTTTTCATTTACCCGATACTACGTAATAAATATAAAGTTTAAATAGTAAATCGATATTTAATAGTAATATACGGTGTAAAAATTTCTTATTATTGGAATGGCGAATGACAAAAAGTCAAAAAAAAAAAAAAATTGCATAGTACGATATATAAACAAATCCAATTCTTTGTTGCAAACCTACTTTTTAAGATTAGTAGTTTCAAAACCTAAAATTTACAACTATTAAAATTTTCTTTTCGACTTTATAAGATAATAGGAACGTACTCCTCTTGCAACCAGGCTTAGCTAAAAATTAATATTATAAATAAAATCTTGAAATTAAATCCAGGTGAAGTAATTTAAGTAGGCCCAAATTAAGGCCATGATTCTAACTGAAATCGTAGATTAGAGTATTTTGGATTTATAACAAAGAAATATATCATAAATACTTATTAGTATTATAATTTTATTATACATGCAGGCAAAGCGAAAACAAAAAAAAAAAAATCAATGAATTCGGATGTTGAAGGTAGCATAGAGCATTCACTTATTACCAAGATCTGATGCCAATACATGCGAAATGTTTGAACGGTACTTGATATGTAACACTTTCAAAAAAAAAAATAAAAAAAAAATCATTCATAAAATAATTTTATTTGATCACAATGTAGTAAAACCCTTCGCTACATCAAATTTCTTAGAAAATACATTTTTTTTATTCTTAGCAGTACCGACGCCATATTTATAACAAAACCCAAAATTATAGTCACCATCTTCGGTGGATTTTAATACTATTCAAACACTTTCTTTTCATCTTTAGCAGTACCTATACGTTCTCCTGGCAAATCCAAGATTGTATTTTCCAACTGATTTACCACCTTTAGCGGATTTTAAATCCCACTTTTTTCATCTTTAGTAGTGTAAAAACCATTCTTATAGTAAAACACAAGGCTGTGTTGTCTATTAAGATCACCTCCTTTAGCAGATCTGAATATCGTTCAAATGTCTTCTGTAATGCCTATACCATTTTTATTGCAGATTCTGAGACTAAATTATCTGATAGAATTACCACATTATACATATTTTAAAAACCATTCAAATGCTTTTTTTACGTCTTTAGCAGTACCAATTCCTATATCAGTGCCTATACCATATTGATAACAATATCAAAGACTATAGCTTTCCACAAAAATTAGCATCTTTAGCAGATTTAAAATAACATTCAAATACCTTCTTTACATTTTTTTTTCAGCGTCACTCCCATAATAGAATCTGAGATTCATTTTTCTGTCAGGATTGCAACCTTCAGCAGATTTTAAATATCAATAAAATGTTTTTTTCTCAGTACCTACATCATGTTCATAGCAATATATAAAAAATGGTTTATTAATATATTTCAATTTTCTAAAAAATAGTTTTAGTAAAACGACTACGTAGTACTGTATTTTGAATATAAGACAAGGTTTGAGAATCAATGATTACTTACGGTAAGTTTGAATTTAGATCGCAAAATGCACAATTTAAAAATAAAATCTGTAAAGTGACAAAAACAAGTAACTTTACTTTAATTTTATTCTAACACCAAACAAGTTTGTTAATCTTGTGTATCAAATAAATGAAAACAAAAGTGCTTGACTAAACCAATTCACCGTCTCACCAATTTACCGTCTCACCAATTCACCATCTCACCAATTCACTGATTCACCAATTCACTGATTCATCGATTCACCAATTCACCGATTCACCAATTCACCGTTTCATCAATTTCACCAATTCACCGTTTCACCAATTCACCAATTTCACCAATTCACCAATTCACCAAAATTTTATTTTGGTGTAATTCTGGTAAAATTATTTCACCATTTTACCTGGTGAAATGGTTTAATTTCACCAGCATCTTTAGTCTAGTCTTATCAGATGAGAGCCTTAATCAGTTCTAAGTTAAAATCTTTCTATACAATCTTTGACCTCTTGTTTCCATTTATTCATTATGAATTATCTCAGATTTTATTCAACTAGGTTGTAGAATATACAGAATCAAGAGGTGTGGCGACTTAGTGAAGTGGTCTAGTTGTCACCCTCACCAAACGTTATGGAAGATTCCATGTTCAAATCCCAGGGACGGCACTTTTGTAATATGGGAAAAGTCTGCGATGATCTTCACTAAGGTTGGACCATGGAGGATCTGTCGAGACGGTGTTTGGTGGCACTATTGAGGTGATTCCGGAAGGCTATAATCTGTGGGCTTTGCATAGCACGGGTCACAGGACCAGAGATCGAAGCCTGTTTGGGAAGTCCCGAGTTGGGAAGTAGCAGCAATCTTTGACAGTACTACATGAAGGCTGAATTTGAACCGGGGCCCGAGATTGGTGAACCGAGTGATCAGGTCCTTTA